AAGAAAGAATCTTGGGTTGGTTGATCTGATAGAAAACAGTGAAAGCTCCAAATTTTATGAAGGAATTGAAGGGGACGAGACACCACTGGATGATGCTGACATGAGAACGGGGAAGATGAAGCTGGATGAGATTGATTTGGGAGTGCAAGAAAACACAGAGAATAAGATATGAAGAGTAAAAGTAAGAGGAAGAAAGAACATAGTCTGGTTTCAGAAGTTGAAGATAACAATTTGTACTCTACAAAAGCTGCAAAAAAGAAAAGCAAAGAGAAGAAACAAAGTTTGGATTCAGAGGCTGAGGAAAACGACTTAAGCTCAAAGAAGTAAAGGAAGGAAAGGAAGAAGAAGCGGAAGCAAAGTGAAGTTTCTGAGGAACAACAATGACGGTAAAAATGCAAATAGGAAAAGGAAGAGGCAAGAGTCTGGTAAGAGTGATAAAGATGTGACCACCCCAACAAGTAGAAGCTCGAAAAAGGTGAAGTTTTCGGACCAAGTGGAGATTTTTCATTCTGAGGATGAAGAAACGGAAGAGGAAGAGGAAGAAGTTGAGTTAAGAAATGGTTTACAAAAAAAGAAGATGAGCTGGTAAAAGAAAGCTGTATTGGAATACACTGATAACCATGCTTTAGGAGATGAAGGGTTAAAAAGGGTTATGGACTACAAGTCACACAAACAAGTACCCAAGAGAAGCACCCAAAACATGGTATGCTCCGAGATAACATCCCTTGGACGACGTACTTGGAACACGGGACCACGTGACTTGCTGCACTAAATGGTATGATCAGTTGACATCACCAATGGTAGTCAAGGGAATATGGGCTAATGCAGATGACTATAGATTCTTGGAAGAACTTTTGAAACTGGATGCTGTTTGTTTTGATGATGTAGATTGGGATAATCTTTTGGAGAATCGAGATTGAGAAGCTTGTAGGAAACGGTGGAACCAGATGATCCGTCATATCGGTATACCGAAATGTAAAAGAAGCCACAAAGAACTATTTTTTAATCTTCTACTTCTTCTTTTTTTCAACATAATTTTCTGCGCAAATTATTATCTTATAATCAATTTGTGGAATGTTAGTTATAATCTTTTGCGCAAATTGCCTTTATGACATTAAAAATCATGTCCAGAATCATAACAAAGAACCAAATTATCTGTTGATCTTGACTAAAGAGATTATTTTGGGAGAAGAAACGGGTCAAAATCATGTTAGGAGTCGTTTTACTGAGGCTCCCACTAGTATCGACCTGTCCCACGTCCTCTGCCTCTACCGTTGTGTTGATCTTGACCTCTCCCGCCTCTTCTTCCAGGATAAGAAGATGTTCCAGCGATAAACTCTTGAGACTGCATTGTGGACTGTGTTTGGGGATTGAAATTTATCTCCGGCCGTGGTTCAGGCAAGCCAATCTGTTGTTGGTTGGAATAGTTCTGATTTACAGAAAATGGTCCTAACTGTTTATCTTCCAGTATTGTCGAGATCTGATCGGTCAAATACTTCTGCAGGTACACCACCACATCAGCTACTATCATCGTTAGGGCTTGATTTTGGATTGGAGCTTGACTTGGGAAAAGATTAGGAACAATTCCCATTTGGTTCTGCTGATTGGTCTCAGGTCTCACGAATTGGTACGTCATTGGCATCATTGGAGCTTGAGTGTGGACTAAACTGGGAATACTACCCATTTGGTTCTGCTGAATAATCTCAGGTCTCATAAATTGCTGCTCTTGCTGGTACATCATTGGCATCATTGGAGCTTGACTGTGGACTAGATTTTGAACAATCCCCATTTGGTTATGCTGATTGGTCTCAGGTCTCACGAATTGCTGCTCTTGCTGGTACATCATTGGAGCTTGCCTGTGGGATAGATTTGGAACACTGCCCATTTGGTTATGCTGATTAGTCTCAGGTCTCATAAATTGTTGCTCTTGCTGGTACATCATTGGTTGATACTGCATACATAAACTTTGGTTGAAATTTTCTTGTGCCCCACGGTTTGGTTCAGTGTTCTGACGGCTCCTGAAATGCTGATATTGAAGCTGAGGAACATGAGCCATTTGAGAGTCATAGTAACGATTTGAATCCCTTCCCATTTGGTCGCACTCTTCAAAGAAGTCGAACTCAGATCCGGTTGGATAATGAAATCTCTTGTAGAGATCCACTTCATCAATATGTTGTGTAAATTCCTTGACGAATGAGAGACCCATACCATGAAAGATGTGCATCTCTGAATCCAGTAATCTCACAACATAGTGAGGATTCGTTACGGATCCAAAGAAGTACCCTTCCACACGACCAAACAGAGCTCTTGTTTCAATGATGTAGACTATAGTACCTACATTCAAAGGTTTGTGATCTCCACTATTCATAACTACCACATGTTTATATGGTACCTGTAATGATAACTTGGGTTTAAATTCAAGCATGGAACTGCTAAGACAATAATAGTAAAAGAAAAAGTTTCTCTCGAGATTACCATGTTAACAACTCCAACAGGAACACTAGCTTGAGGAAATAGCGATATCAATATGGAGGAGATAAAGCTATATATATATATATATCTTAGTTACGATTATGTGATGTTTACATAGAATCTCTTAGTACTTATCTTCCTAGATCTTCTTGGAAATTGTCTCGTGTAAGTTCAACTAACTAAAAAGACAGATCCGTTTGGTTTGGGTAAATCCGGTTTGGCACGGTTTATTTGATAAAATATACAATCACAGAGCAAGTTTGGTTGATAGAAAACAGAGCAAGGTTTGTTAAAAATAAAAGAAAAGAAAACAGAGCAAGTTTTGGTTGCTCTGACGTTATTAACATGAGAAACGGAAACATTAACTCTCTCTCAGAAATCAGAAGATGTCAACTAAACAGTTACCAATGTTTCATTTATCAAATCTGTCCAAGAATGTAGGTAAAAAAAAGTTTCAAGAGTCCCTTGTACTTATGTTTTGCTTCTGATCTTGACCTGTCCCACATCAAAGCCCACGTCCTCTACCATATTGATCCTTTTGCTGGTGGTTTTGATCTGTTCCTCCCTCACCTCCCCCTGTTCCTAGTTGAGCAAGCAGTTCTCGTTGTCTTCTAAGATGTTCCTGCCAGTAAATCGCTTGATGTTCCTCTGACATCACCGGAGCTGGAATATTGGCTAGATTGGGAATAAGGTCACTCCGGGTCTGCTGATTCATCTCAGGTCTTTGGGAAGGGGGCATACCAGGAGATTGGTAGAAATGGTTCCAATCTACAGTTGTTCCACCTTGTGGTATTGCTGGCATTTGACCACTCAAATTCTGCTGCTGGTACCAGAAATGATTATGCTGATTCATCACAGGTATGCCAGGAGGGTTGAACATCACTTGGTTTGGTCTATGGAAATAAGCCTCATGCTGCATAGGAGGAGGGTAGTTGAATTGGTTCTGGCCTGCAAAAAACGTTGGTCCTTGTGCCCTATAGCTTGTGACATGTTGGTTGTACATCATTGGATCTGGTCCATGAGGCTGCATACCAGAAGACGTTGGTCCTTGTGCCCTTGCACTATGGCTTGTGACCTGCTGATTCCTCATTTGATTCTCAAAAGCAGAGGGATTGTATCTCTCATCAAGCCATGGTTGATGCTTGCCAGCAGAAGCTCGAGGTCTCCTTCTATCTTGTTGAGTAGACGACGATGTAGCAGTAAGCCTCTGAGATGCTGCATTGGGACCACGTTGATTGTGACCTCCATTGGGACGACTACTCCTGGAACCATGGTACCGGTTCGTCCTTGGATTCTGATTGGAAAGTGGAGCCATTTGAGAGTGAGAATGACTTGAAGAGCTTCCCAAAGTAAATTGCTTCTTATTTCTTGAGTTGTTGGTTTCTTCTTCACCAGTCAGCCTTCTCTTTCCCCTGTCACGCTGCGGTTGGTTTACATAGTACATTAGAATTAGGCTCAACTCAAGCATGCGGTTGTCGTCAAATCAAAACAGGGTTTTTATTGTATATTTACATTGGGATCATATCTATCACCACCATCATTGCGATCGTCTTCTTGATCTGCCATCGTTTCACTAACGTCACGGTTTCTTGAAGAAGAAGCATCTGTTATATTGTTGGCTTCATCAATGGCGGAAGAAGAAGCAGGGGGAACAGAGACATTTAGCGGAACAGCTTCAGTCTCTAGATTGACATTACTATATGGAACGAGAGGACGGTCCTGAAACGAGCAAGCAAGTTTTAGTTACTTCCTGATCAAGCAAACAAGAACGAAAGAAAACTAAAAAAGAATCTTAGAATCATTGTCCTTGTTTCAGCTGTTTGATCTCACTACTTTCATCGTTTCTTGAGGGAGAAGTAACCGTTTGGATCATCATCATTGAAGAAGCAACTAGAAAAAAAAGCTTTACCGTAAGCAACCCATCGTCTTCTTCTTCGTCGAATTTGATGCCACCAAGAATAGCAGCCGTGGGATTCGGATCATCTTGGTCGTTCCCCAGCCCATCCATGGCGAAACTGAAAGAGAGAGACGTGAGACGAAGGAGAGAGCGGGAGAGAACGGCTCACAGTATCCGTTGCTGAAAAAGGATATATTTGATACGGTTTAGTCCGGTTACATACGCTTTATTGAGTGAGTCAACGAGAGCGGTGATAGTTTTTAATATTATCATTTCAAATTCTCATACAGTTAATATATTAACCAAACTAAACTAGCAAACATTGTAAGACGAACGCTTTATTCTAGTTACTCTATGTTTTATAAAAATTGTTAGTAAGCTATAGTGGACTAGTAGTCATATAAGGGTTTGACTAGTTTAAACTCAATACTCAATCAGGTGCAGATGTTTGTATGGAAGTGGTAATTTCGGTTTCAAGTATTATGTTTATGATGATTATGTTAATGTTACTATGTTACTATGTTACACACACATTAAAAAGAATGCATCACAAAGCAAATTCTATATATAACCACTGCAAGAAAACAGATCAGACAAAGAGTTAGAGATGTTGCTACACAATTGGAACAAGTTTAACCAAAAATGATAGATAATTCATAAAATTATGGCTTTAAAAGTTGAATAAGAGCATTAAGAAACAAAGCTTCAGCTTATCTTGAAAAAACAGTCATGGAAGAGTGGAAAAAAAGTTCAAGAATCTTTTTTACTTAGGCTTTTTGTTAGTCTCGACCTCTCCCACCTCCTCTTCCGCAGTAAGAAGATGGTCCAGCGTTAAATATCTGAGACTGCATTGTGGGCTGAGTTTGGGTATTGAGATTCATCTCCGGCCATGGTTCGGGCAAGCCAATCTGTTGTTGGTTGGAATAGTTCTGATTTACATAAAATGATCCTGACTGTCTATCTTGCAGTATTGTCGAGATATGATCACTCAAATACTGCCGCAGGTTCACCACCACATCAGCCACTCTCATCGTCATAGCTTGACTTGGGAAAAGATTGGGAACACTCCCCATTTGGTTCTGCTGATTGGTCTCAGGTCTCACGAATTGCTGCTCTTGCTGGTACATCATTGGCATCATTGGAGCTTGCCTGTGAACATTGCCCATTATGTTCTGCTGCTGACTAGTCTCAGGTCTCATGAATTGCTGCTCTTGCTGGTACATCATTGGAGCTTGACTGTGGACTAGATTGGGAACACTGCCCATTTGGTTCTGCTGATTAGTCTGAGGTCTCATGAATTGTTGCTTTTGCTGGTATATCATTGGTTGATACTGAATACAAAAACGTTGGTTGGAATTGTCTTGTGCATCAAGGTTTGGTTCGATAGTCTGACGGCTCCTGAAATGTTGATCTTGAAGCGGAGGAACATGAGCCATTTGAGAGTCATAATAATGATTTGAATCCCTTCCCATTTGGTCACACTCAGCTTCTTCAAAGAAGTCGAACTTATATCCTGTTGGATGATGAAATCTCTTGTAGAGATCCTCTTCATCAATATGTTGTGTAAATTCCTCGACGAATGAGAGATCTATACCATGAAGGTTGTGCATCTCTGTATCCACCAATCTCACAACATAGTCAGGATTCGTTACGGATCCAAAGGAGTACCCTTCCACACGACCAAATATAGCTCTGGTTTCAATGATGAAGACTATAGTACCTACATTCAAAGGTTTGTGATCTCCGTTATTCCCAACTACCACATGTGTATATGGTATTGGCACCTGTAATGATAACTTGGGTTAAAATTCAAGCATGGAACTGCTAAGACAATAATAGTAATAAAAAGAGATAAGAGTGAATTTTCTTGAGATTACCATGTCCACAACTCCAACAGGCAACAGGAACAGTGGCTTAAAGAAATAGCAATATGAAGGAGATAGCTGTATGCATGTATATATCTCTCTTAGCTACGATTATTTGATTTTTCATTTAGTATCTCTTAGCACTTATCCTCCTAGATTCTATTTAATCATGAAACTAACAATGACAATTCCGTTTTGTTTGATTGGTTTAGTCCGGTTTGGTATGATCTATTGGACCTCAATTGATAGTTAGTACTTTAGTACCAAGTCTATGTTACAGACACAAATACACAGAGTCACAGACATACTAAATGAATACAATACAGAGTAAGATCTATGATCTTTAAGTAGAACAAGTTCAAAGAATCGAGTAAACACACCATTTTACAGTAGAGGTCTTCAATGAACAAATATTACTAACACAGATGATTCAAGATTCACAAAAAGAAACTCACCACCAATTGAATAATCGATGATTGGAAGCAAGCACAATGATCCTTTTCCTTGAGCCAGTTCACATGGAATAAGCCTCTTCTTGGTTGTAGAATCACCTTAAGCCTCCTCCTGAGGCTTTGACTCTTTTTTTGTGTGTCTGGTTTAGTTCCCTATGTTGTTGTTGTTTCTGAGAACTGAACATCTCTTGTTTCCACGAATTCACAGAGATGATCCAATAAAAAATGCTTCTTTACAATTCCCTAGTCTGCGCTAGGTTCGCCCGAACCATGACGCTCTCTTCTGATCATATCTAGTAGATCTTGAACAACTTCAGACATCAACGGTCTGAATTCTGGTTCAGACTAGAAAAAGAGATAAAAACTAACTCATTTGGTCAAGCAAACACAGTCACAAGCATCTTATAGCAGTTTCTAATTTTTTCAGTATGTATGTTTACCTGAACACACCGGGAAATTATATCAGCAAAGTGTGACAATGACTTTGCAGGGTATTGTCCACTAAGAGATGGATCAACCATTTTGCCCAATGCATCGATATCGTGAAGCTGCGGGATTGCCCACCTCACTAAGAACTGCTCTCCTCTACTTCGGTCCCTATTAATCAACTCATTGATATCAATACACACTTAGCCAGAACCAAAAAAAAAATAAGCTAAGCGAATAAACCAATATGACATACATACCTATCGTAGGACATTCTACCCGTCAAGAGCTCTAACATAACAACACCAAAACTATATACATCACTCTGCCATGTATAGATTCCAGAGTCAAATTCTGGAGCTCCATATCCATAAGCGGCCAGCAATTGTCCTGATAACTGATTATTATAAAAAAAGAAAAGTAGTTTAGTTTTACCTGACTTTCAAAGTAAAATGATTTCTTTTTTTTTTGTCTCTATCAATACTGTGAGGGTCAAAGCCATGAGAATTAAGTTCATTGGGTTTTAGTACTTTACCTGACTCACAGAGCCTGATGATATTAGTGGGGCCAAACCACAATCTGAGACCAGAACACTCAAGTCATCGTCGAGTAGAAGATTGGCCGATTTGAAGTTTCTGTGTATGATACGTGGTTCACACACCTCATGCAAGTACCTTAACAACATTAACAAATGTCAGAGATTGGTAAATAAACCGTTGAACAATTCCATTTTGAAGTAAAACAAGAAACTTACTCAAGCGCCCTAGCAGCTCCAAGTGCCATACTGACACGAGTATTCCATGAAAGTTTCTTCTTGAATTCGTCGTCTGAATGCAACCCGTCTTGTAGCGTACCATTACTGCAATATTCGTAGACCAATAGTCTTTGGTCGTGCTCAGCACAGTAACCCACAAGTTCAACGATATTGGCGTGGCGGATCCTATCTATATTGTTAACTAATTCGATAAATTTGTGATCCTGTTGTTGTTCAGAAGCCCTCTTGTCCAACTTCTTAACAGCAAACAACTATAAGAGACAAAATTAAAAATAAAAGATTTAGAACCAAAGCAGAGTTTCTGAGCCTGACATTGTTTAAAATAAGTTCATTATACCTTTCCATTAGGAAGTCGAGCCCTGTAAACACTCCCAAGCATCCCCGAGCCAAGGAGATTTTCCTGTGAGAAGCTTTCTGTGTATTGTTGAAGAGATGCAATGGAGTAGTGCTTCACAGAAGTTAAGGGCACGCGTTTAGGAGAAGGTTTCTTAACGGGTCTTTCAGGTGATATAATTGGCATAACGGTGACCTTCTCAGCCATAGGAGGAGGTGGTGGTGGTGGTGGTGGTGGTGGTGGTGGAGGTGGGGGAGGAGGAGGCATCAACATTGAAAAGTCAATATCTTGACTTTCCTGTCTTGATATAGGCGCAGGTCTCCGCAACCTCTCAAGGTCATGTAAAACCTTTGGTTCCTCTCCAGCTTTCTTGAAGGGTTCGCTTTGAACTGTTTAAAAGCACAATCAGCATTACTTAACAAAGGACAGTAGGAACCAATAGACAAACTTTTGAAGTTCAATCCTACCTTTTTCAGATCGAACAGGTGGTGGCAGGACCGGAGGCCCGTTTTCTAGAGCGTTTTCTCTGCTTCCTCTGTCAGCACCCACTTGATGCCGTTTGAAGACTCTGTTAGCATGTTCTCTTCGTCTTGCACATTTTGGCAACAGCAAGAGTATTGCCAAAACCAGAATTATGAAGACGAGGACGCCAGCGAATGCAATAAGAATTATCCTTTTAGTATGTGAAGAGTTCTTTCCCTTGGAATTCTCAGAGCTCGATCCTTCTGAATCAGAAGGTCCATCAGCAACTTTCCCTCGATTCCTCTCATTTGGAGGAGGTGGAACTCCAGAAAATGGTCGTGTTGGAGCTGGTTTTGTTGGAGATAGTGATGGCGACAATGACGGTGCAGTTGTGGTGGAATTATCCACAGAGGAATTGAATGGGTTCCCTTCATTTCTGCATCACCAATTGAAGCATACACAAAAGCAACTTGAAAAACATGAATTGGCCCTCATAGGATTAGTAAAGAGAAAATAGGAGAGCACTTACAGGAACTTCGGAATGCTTAGCAATTTGTCTGGTATGGGACCAGAGAAGAGGTTATTTTCTATGTTTCTGTTTCAAGAAGACAACAAAAACTAAGACTTCTGAAAATTCTGCACTGCTTAAGTACTTGTATATTGCGAGAGAAAGAAACATACAGGTCTTGAAGAGGAAGGCCTTGAAGAACGTCCAGAGTTCCTGAGAGCTGATTGTTCTGAACACGTCTGCAAAACTAAGACTATCAGCTTGGTGGAGAAGAAAAAAAGAGATTCAACATTTGTTTTTGTAGTGACCAAAACTTACAATGTTGTAAGAGTTGATAAATTCTCCATTGAAGGAGGCAATGTGCCGCTTAGATTGTTGGATGATATATCACTGCATAAAGATATCATCATATCACAAAACAATCCTTAGAAACAGAAACTGTTCACCAAAGTATAAACAAGACGAAGCATACAGATTAATCAGCCCGACAAGGTTTTGAAACACGTCGGGTAGCTCTCCTGAGAGAAGGTTATCATTCAAAGACCTGAAAACAAATGGTGACTGTCAGCAGCACAAAGCGATGGTAAAAGAATTTGGGAGTAATCTGAAACTTACATGTCATTCAGAAAATTCAATGTTCCTAGAGATTCCGGAATGCTTCCGGTGAACTGATTAGCTGAAAGAAAACTGCCAAAAGGTAAAGACTATTATCATACAAACTGTTTGAAACAACAAAACATATTAATAAAGTATACATTGTTAAGGGGTATACATACAAATGCTGCAATGTAACCGGCAAAACAGAAGGTATGCTTCCTCCAATGCGATTGTTGCTGAAGTCTCTGGAGATGAGCAAAGTAAAACAGACAAAAGGTTACATGAAATATGCAAATTGACTTGTCAAAATTGTCAGATTTTGTGTCTGAAATGCTTACATTCCCCTGATAGAAGTGAACTTAGCTAAGTTGTCACCAAGCTCTCCTTGCAAATTTGCAGCATTTACAGTTCTGCAACCATTCAAGATAGAATTAGCAGAAAGATTCGATGATAGATAAGATAACTCAAGAGTTGTGGTTAACTCTAAAAAGGTCCCCTTACATGCTAATTATGTCTGAAACATTGCAGATAATGCCTTGCCAAGCTTCACCACATGGGTCTCCACCAGAAGCAATCCAACCAGGAAGCACAGGAGCGCCAAGCGCAGCGAATAATCCGTTAATTGCAGCAACTGATTCAATTATAACAATGCTGATTAATACTCAAACAGAACAAAATAACTAGGGAAGAAAATCTAAAAATCCTCAAATTAATATGCACAGATCTCACTTTGAATTCAGTGAACACAAAATGTAAATCTAGAAACAAAAAAAAATTGAGGCTTTCCCTTACCATCGTCAGGGTTAGTAGCAGCTAAGGAGATGGAAGGAACCCAGATCAGTAAAGTCAAGAGCAGAGGAAGAAGAAGAAGACAGTAGATAGATCTCTTAGCAGCCATGGTTTTCCAAGTCAGAGCAGAGTAAAAGTGTGAAACCAACACATTAATCGAACAAAACGATGTCTACGAATCTGTAAACCATCCAATACACACACAAAAAAAAACATCATGAAAGCGACAAGATCCATAACAAATCAAAAGGGTAAACAAATTAAACAAGTAACAATCTTTGAGAAGATGAAAGATTAAAAAAAACTTACTGGAAAAGTAGAGGAATCGTCATCAACGATTTGGTGAGTTAAACGAAAAAAAGGTAAAGACTTTGCCTTTTAAACTCTCAAAAAACCCAATCCTGAAGAAAGAAAAAAAATGCAAACTTTTTTCTTTTTATGTGGGTGAGAATGAGATTTAAGACGCAACGTAAGAGCTAAGGTTCAATGAACACTTTCGTCAATGAAGTAAATTTTACCCTCTCAAATAATTTGACGATAGAGAATCTCCTCCTCTCTATTAAGCTCGACTCTCGAGGAACAAAAAGCAAAGAAAAGGAAAAAACCAAACACAGAACCAAAAAAAAAGGAAACTTTTTTTCTAATTTCAGACGAGACCAGAACCTCTGCGAACTTAAGAAGAACGAAACAGGAAAAGATTCAGAAA